TTTAATATTTCAAAACCTTAAAAATTTTAATATGTTTTAGTAGACATTTCATACAAGTTCTGAGTTAATTTGATGAATGTAAATACTAACACAAAGTTTAGTACAACAAACTTTTGACAATACTAGACAGTTGTTATATCTTAATGTATGAAAAGGACTGCATCAAAACAAACTATCAACAGAGGTTACGTTTATGGAATAGAATTTGTAAAGAAGTCCAAAGAAGGCATATACTCCTTTCTCTTTATTTTTGTTACAGTACTCTTATTTTTGATGAATATATATTACTATGGAATTTTTAGAAGAAAAAAATTGAGGCTCATATACATAGAGTAATGCAAAAAACAGTGTCAATATCTCTTTGCTGGTATTCAAAACTCGTATTATAACAATATAACCATCTTCACTTACTAAATCATTGCTTACATTTAAATTAAAATATAGTTCAGCCTCTTCAAGGAAACTTTAACATGAAAAATGCATTTTAAATCCTTCATAGTTATTCACCTGCAATCCAAGAAAATAAGATATTGGGAGAAATATGTGAAGAATGTTTTAGGTCAAACAATGGTCACAAGGTAAAAAAAAAAATGTGTGTGTGGGGTGGGGGGTGGTATTTCTCCCCTTTGAATCTGAAGAACCACTCCTTCAGGAATCTCTCCTAAAACCAGACACCTTAGATTCCACAAATATTAAACACGTTGTCCCTTGCATCTTTTATCTTAAGTTATATCATCTGATGCTTTAGGGTAGTTTTTAGTAAATATAAGACATTATATCAAATATAAAAATTTTAGATACCTACAAAATCTGTTCAGCTAGTAAGTACTTCTTCCAGAGAGCCTTTATTAACAAACATTGATTGTCCTTTCCTGATAACCCTGATCATCCTAGACCCTTTCCAGAATTAATTACTCCTGTCACTGTACATTATCGGATTGCCTGTTACCTAAGCATTCAATATCCAAACCTCCAGTTATGAAATTACACAAGGAAGCAAATAAGTAAACAATGATAAATTTAGACTCACACAAAAATCTATCCCACAAGTAACTCTAACGCTCATGATTGATAATGTTTGGACAGTTAGTCTCACTTTGATTATCAGATGTAGTAGAACATTGAACAGTATAATGAAAATCTAAAGCAAAGTGAATTGGCAAAATCCTGGAAAAACGCAGAATTTTATGAAGTTGCTAAACGTGATGCTGGACAACCGCTCAAATCACAGGTAAAGCTATCAGTGCTAAAGTACGGATCTAGAAGGCTTAGAGCAGTTACCTATAAAAATGAGTAAATCAGAGTTATTGATGACTTGCTGGGGACTTTTGTAAAACATGATTTGAATATCAAAAGAAGAGTGATGTGTAGAAAACTGACAAAGTGCTCACATATTTATCTTAATACAGCCTCTCTACTTGATCGACCTTGATCATGCTTGATCAACCTTTAAGAGCTATCATACTATGCAAGCATACAACTTCAAGGGAAAAATTATACCAAAATGAACTGACATTTGATTCAGTCTTTATTCAAAGAAGGCATACTTCTTTAGAACCTAAATTTGTCATACTCTGAAAAAAACCTTATTTTCATACATTTGCTTCAATGTTAAGAAAGTGCTCCAAACATATCTTTGCTTATTGTTTAGCATGAAATAAAGTTGTTTGTTTTTAATTAATTCACTGATTTTATTATTTTCAGATAACAAGGTTCTCTTGTACTTCTCTTGCTCTTATATTACAACATGTTAAAAATTTGTCCCTATATATGTCTATCCTATTATATCCTCTAGCTTACCTCCTTGAGAAAAAATGCTGTATCATCTCTATCTCCTGCAACTAGTACAATTCCTAGAATATAGTCAATGCTAAAAAAACAAAACAAAAACTCAACTGAGAAGTACACCATTTTTAATAAGTGAATTTGTAATTGAGTTAACACCACAAGTCTAATCAACATATATGACATATCCTCAACAACTTTAAACCATCTAACTGGCTATTTCAAATGGTCTCAATTTTAATTAGATATTAACCGTTTTACCTATGTTTAAAAATGTGTGACTTCTTTTGAAAATCATACCTTTATACATAAGAAGGCATTTAATAATGGTCCATATAGAGTTATTTGAGAATCTGGAGAAAGTTCCATTTCCACATGAAGTTTATCAGGTGGAAGTTCTGAGGGATCAATAGGTGGGCGTGACGAAGTAGAAGGAGAAGAAACAACTCTGTCTGATGTTTTCTGGGATGGCCTTAATACAGATAGCATTGTTTCTTCCATTTCTGACACTGGAAAAAATTAAGAAAAAAGAGAAGAATGCCTTGGGGAGGGGAAGTTCTTAGAAGTTCTTTAAGGAACTATTCACTAAGAGATTCTATTTTGCAATTTTTCATGAACAATCTTTGATATAGTACCTATAATATCTAATGAAAACAGACCTGCAAGACTAATAAGAATACACAATAGAAGACTGCACAGAAATATGTGTAGAAATACATAACCAGATGGCACAGAATCAATGAAAATTTCCTATTAACATCCTTGAGTCCCTACAATATAAATTCAGGTCACAATTAGGCTTTAACTATACTTGGGCACTAAAGTACTAAGTTGTTTTCACATAAACAGCTATTCAAATACAGCGTGACATTATCAGGGCACCTGGGTGGCTCAGTCAATTAAGTGTCTGACTCTTGGTTTCAGCTCAGGTCATGATCTCACGGTTTCATGGGTTCAGGCCCTGCAACAGGCTCTGCACTGTGCAGAGCCTGCTTGGGATTCTGTCTCTCCCTCTTTCTCTTTGCTCCTCTCCCACTCTCTCACAATAAATAAACTTAATTTTTTTTTTTTTAATTCAAATACAGTGTGACATTATCAAGCACCAAACATAAGAACAATTATGAAAACTATTCTTTAACTCTTAACTCACTGGAAAAATACAAATTAAAAATCACGTGATTCTAATTCCAGTTTGGAATAATTATGAAATGATATAATTGTGAAAGTATATTTAAAAAAAAACTAACATTTCAAAAAAAAATAACATTTCATGAAACCAAGTGGTTTATGTATATACTCACATGCACCTTATTTGATATTACAGCTCTTCTGTTTCTAGTTGGTAGAACTTGAAAAAATTATTTACTTTCTCTAAGCATTATTTGTTCAACTCTACGATGACAATAATAACATTTATCTCACAGAGTTGTTATAAGGATTAAATGAGATAATGTAAACCAGGAAATAGCTTATCTAGTACAGTAAAACCTTGGATTGCAAATAACTTGCTCTGCCAGTATTCTGCAAGATGAGCAAACATTTCTAATAAATTTTAACTTGATAAATGAACGATGTCTTACAATATGAGTAGCATGTGATGCCAAATGTCACATGATCACAACTGAGTCAATGGTTCTTCTCTCTCTCTCCCTCTCTGCGGGATTGTGAGTGATCATCTCCCATGCTCGGATGCTTGGTGCTTGGTCTCAGGCCACGATGTTTGGCAGCAATCAGTGATTTTTCAGCAAGTTGGAAGGTACCCACAACTGGCACTAGTGTATTTTTTGTCACTTCAAAGCACCTATGGACAGTCCTTTGCTTTTCCATTCAAGAGTAAGCTTGGGAATGCTTTGCTTCATTCTAGATCAGGCTGCCTGCAGATATGAACCCTTCCCTCTGCTGCCGTATTACCAGTTGCATTAAATACGATATATGACAAGAGTTTATTAATACTGTGCTATAGTCAACATCCATGCAAGTGTATACAATGACCCTTTTCAGAAAAATATTCCGTTAAGCCAATAATAGTGATTCTGTTACTGATAGTGAAAGTCATCCTACACAATAACCCTCCTCTCTCTTGTCTCCCTCACACCAGCCAAATTATTTCTCTTTAAATTTTGTATTTTCGTTAATAGTTTGTATTACAAAATTACAATACTGCAATCATTTTTATATGAATATTTTTGGGTTGTGAAACGAATCATCTAAGTTTCCATTATTTCTTGTATTTCTTTGATATACAAGTGCTTTGGATTACAATCATGAATTACGCTCACAAACCAAGGTTTTATTGCAGTTGATACACAGTAAATACTCAATGAAAGTTAGTTATAATTATGCCACAATTACTTAACAGATTTTTAAATGTATACAATTATGACAAAAGAACAGATGCATTTCCAAAATTAAAAACAATTTCTTATACCTTTAATAGTTATCAATCATAAAACCAGATGTTTCAAAGTACAAATTATACAAAAACACTTACACGATTGCTTTAGCTGCTCATCTGCTTTTTGCGGATAAATTGGATGCCATGTATAATCAATTGTGAGCATGACACTTGGGACAGTCCAGCATTCAACCCAACCAGCTCTGTGAAGAACAAAAAATTAAGTTCTAGTCAGGTACTTATTCCTTTAATTGTATCCAAACGCTAGTTACAGATAATCAACTTTTATCATTATTCTTTGAAAGAATCATAAGAATAATTTCTCCACATACAAACACAAAATACTCACTTTTCTTGTGTAATGTTCCGCCATTTTGGTTTAACAGTTTTCTGCCCACTTTGACACTCAGCAGGAATACCGGTATCATGAGTCATTTTGTTTGGGTGGCAATTCTTCACCAGCATAAATAATGAATATTTACTAGGGTGGCAATCTGGTAGAAATAAATGAAGATCAACATCTTCTCCCTAAAAAAGAATTTATTATAAGCCAAAGTAACACAACAGGTACACAAAGATGTTAAATTTCTAATTATAGCCAAACCTATCTATAATAATCTTCAGAATACAAAAGAAATACAAAAGGCAGATTTTACAATGAACGGTCAATTAAATAACAGTTAAGATTTTATATGGACTATAAGTAAATTCTGATAAGTTAAGAAAATCAAGGAAATAAATAGCATGGTTTCCACAAAATAGTAAAAAAGATGATCTTTGATGGTATCCATGGGTATTTCACATGTAATTCAGTAAAAAAAAAATTTTTTTAAACCAGCTAAATTCAGGTGGTATATGTTCTGCATTTTATTAATTTTTAAAATATAATTGTCTCTTGATTCTAGTTAAGTCTTGGTTCATCAATTGGCTTTTAAGAATTCTGAATTGAAGGGGTGCCTGGGTGGCTCAGTTGGCTGAGTGCCAGACTCTTGATTTCAACATAGGTCATGATCTTACGATTGTAAGTATAGAACCTGCTTGTGATTTCCTCTCTGCCCCTCCCCAATTTGTGCTCTCCTATGACTCAAAATAAATAAATAAACATTTTTTTTTTTAAGGAGAAGAATTCTGAATTGATACCCCAAAGGATCTTCATTTGGCTTCACTTTTTTCCTTATAGGTCGGTGCCCTAATCTTGTTCAAGCAGTCAGCCTGACATGCTTGACTTCTTTGCTTTGCTTT